TCTCTTAAGAAGGTTAGTATTGCTTTACACTAAGGGGCTCTCATATGACAATAGCAGAAATGCTGGTTTGCTAATCCTGGCAATTACAACCAGAGGAAAAAATGCAGTGATCTTCTTCTAAAGATTCACAGCCTTTGGAAAGTCTCTGATAAATTCTATTCAACGCTATAGGGTTATTATGAGTTAGAATTTATTGATTCAAGAGCCATGAACTTAGTTTTTATGGATTTTAGTGTTTTTTAGTATAATTATTCTTCAGTATATTTTAGAAAAGCATTCTTTAATCTTTGTATCTTAAAGAACTATGTCTTTTAAACATGTATCATCATTTCTATTGAATTAAAATATAAATAAAACATTTGCTAGTTTAACCAATTAGAAGTGATCAATTTATTGATATTAGCCATATTCACCATGCCACAGTCATTATAACTTTATTCTTCATGTTTTCATCCCCTTAAATAGAACTTTAATTGTTGTTGTTGTTGATTGCCTTCGAGTTGAGCACGACTCATCATGACCCTATGAACAAAAGGCCTGAAGCCCCTCTACACCTATCAACATTTATTAAAGTTCAGAGTTTCTGGAGGCAAGTTGTTTAGGAAGTGGATGCCACCCCTGCTACCTTAATAGCTATTTAAATTTTCCCCAGCCCCTGGTAGGCACTAATACACTTTTATCTCAAGGAATTTGCTTTTCTAAATATTTTATGGATATGTATTAAAATTGTTATTTTTAGGTGCCAGCAAGCCAGCTATGACTCATAGCTACCTGATAAACAACAGATGTGAGCCTTACTTCCTGAACCATCCTCACTATCTCTGAAAAGCTAAAGCCCTTTGTTACAGGCACGGTGGCAATCCCTCTTGTTCTCTGACCCTCTATTTTTACATGATGTGTTTTTCTGAGGACTGGACCCTCCTTACAACATGCTCAAATTCTGCGAGATGAAGTTTCATAGTTTTGCCTTCTAATCAGCTCCCTGGTTGCACTTTCTCCAAGACAGTCATGTTTGTTCTTTTGGCAGTCATATACTATCTGTTCTTTTGTTTCTGACTTACTGTGACCAGCAAAATGTTTCCAGTTTTCCTTCATGTCATAATATGTATCAGGACTTGATTAAATAGGATTCTATTTTGTTTATCTATTTGTTGGTGGTTTATCTATTTGCTGGAGACTAAGGTGCGTTTGATACATACAGGCCATGGTCTTTGCAATCACTTGTTATGCCTCAGTGAGTTGGACAATGACCAATGAGGATAGAAGAAGAATTGATGCCTTTGAGCTGTGGTGCTGGAGAAGAGTATTGAGAGTACCATGGACTGCTAGGAAAGCAAACAGATTCATCCTGGAAAGCATTAAACCAGGTGGCTCCTTGGAGGCAAGGATTCTGAGGCTCCATCTAACACACTTTGAACATGTTGTAAGGAGAGACCGGTCCTTGGAGAAGGGCATCATGCTTGGTAGCGTGGAGGGACAGCGCAGGAGGGGAAGGCCCTCTATGAGGTGGATTGATTCAGTGACTGGGATAATCGGGATGGGAGTGTCACAGACAGTGCGATTGGCACAGGACAGAGCAGAGTTTAGGGCTGTTGTACATAGGGTCACTATGAGTCACAAGCGACTCGACGGCACATAACAACAACAACATTTGTTGGTGGATCAAATTTGGAAAGACTGTTTTTCAGAGAATAAGAGGTAGAAAATAGCCCACAAATCTCATTTTCTACTAGCAGTATATTGTGATTCAGGGGAATATTTAATCACTATCTCAGCTGACTGCTGAGTAAGGAGTTGTGCTGCCAAACCATAGACTGGTGATTCCACTGCACCAGAAGCGCTGTGGGATAAAGATGGACAATCCCCTGTGAAATTTGCAGCTTGTGAAAATATGCTGGAAGATCAGCTATGAGCGAGCAGGTCTAGACTCAAAGACAATGAGTTTGAGTTTGGATGGTTTTCTGTTTTGTTTTGTTGTTTGGGGTGTTTGACCATCTAGAGGAATGAAGAGAAAAAGGATAGTTGAAGGTTATAGTGCACAAATTAGCTTCTCTAATGGATGATTATCATTTGTCATTTGACCGAGAAATTGCAACATAGGACAACTGCAAATTAGGTTTTGTGGTTGTTGTTAGGTGCCATTGAGTCAACTGTAATTCAGATCAAAACCTTGACCTATCCTCTACCACCCTCATAGTCTTCATAATCCTCAACATTTTGATGTAAGCACTGTGTCAATCCACCTCATCAAGGGTCTTGCTCATTTCACTGACCCTCAATTTTTCACAGCATGATGCCTTTTCCTAAGAACTGGTCCTCCTAACAACATGCAGTATATTTGTGAAATACTCTTTCACCATCCTTGCCTCCAAGGAGCACTCTGTTTCATTTCCTGCAAGACATATTAGTTTGCTCTTATGGCATTTCTTATTAAATTCAATAATGATTCCCAACACCACAACTGAATGGCATCTGTTCTTTTTTCGGTCTTTATTCATTGTCCAGGTTTCAGATGCATACAAAACAACTGGAAACAACAAAATTTTAGTAGCTTTTATTGAGAGGTGAGGTGTTTCTTTCATCTAAATTTTGCATTCTTTTTTCCACCATAATACACGTCTCTGACCTTTTAGACACAACTCCCTAGCTTTTGTTTATCTCTTTTTAGCAAATTTAGCGTTTACCTTTTTTATAGTGAATTGAATTGAGGAATTTGTTCTCCTGTCCATTTGAGATTTCTAATGACTAGTATTTTAAATAATGCATCTAAAATTATGATAAACAATGCTGCTTACAATAAAAATTTCACCAATTCAGTTAGAGTTGATAGATTTGAAACATAAAAAGCATTGCTGTCTTTTTGTCACTGAAACATTATTTGAAAAATTAAAATATCTAGATACATAATAAAAATATCAATCAACTGAGAAAAAGTAGATGTATTAGTTCATAGTTCTTAAAATTCTCCAAATTAAAGCAATTTACGTAATTTTTGCTTTATTTAGTAATGCTAGAATTAGAAAAACCACACAGTTATATTTTAAAGTACCTCATCTCCTTTATGAGATAATCTCATGCTTTAGTAATTGTAAACGTCTCACTTGTTGGTATAGAAATTATATGTAACAATTATTTTGCTGATTTTTTGCTTCAAAAGAAATTAAGGATTCTCATTTCTACTGTGCTATTCCTTAGAGTATCTCAAAATAATTCATTAATAAATGCAATATTATTTCATGATATCATTTCCCCCCTCTTTTTCATTCTGACTATTGAATACTATTTCTATTATTGAATACTACTTTGCCTTGTCTTTACCTTCAATATATAGAAGTGTAAGGAGCTTGAAAGATCTTACTATGAGGGAAAGAATATTTATGTACTTTCTCTGTAAATCTGTTTGAACTCACAGAAAGATCAGTGTTTGGAACACAGCAGCTCCTATATTGGAGAAAGATGAAGTATTTTGTCTCTGTAAAGAACACAGCATGGAAAACCATGCCTGGCAATTTTACTCTGTCCTCTAGGATTATTATTTATAATAACTGACTCAACAGCACATAGAAATGCAAAGCGTTTTATAGAATATACAGAGTTTTGAGGGGAGTAGCTCTTTCAAGTTTTAAGGACAAATCTCCAACTCTGGGTTCAGCTGAGTCCAGTCTGGGATCTGAGATTGGGCCGACTTGAGAGGCAGGCACCAGGTGCACACTCACTTATCTTCTGTCTTGTCCAGGCTTTGTTACTGGGTCAGACTTGTCTCTTCTCAGCTTAGGAGTACTTTCTTAGCAGTCTATTAGTAACTCATGTAGCACCACTTCTATTTTCTTACCACAGCTAGCAGAATCACAAATAAGATGAACTTCATTGGCCCACTTAAATGGCTTCTTAAAGATTCTACTGATTCAACTTTAGATTATGTATTTTATGTAAATACCTAAATAAACTTAGCCAGATGGCCTGGAGAGGTATAACTGAGTGGTGAAGACCATCTGAGTGGCCATGATAATTGAGTGAAGAATGAAGAACGGAAGTTTCCAATGTGCTCACTACTTGAAGTAGGGGATGATCTTTGAGCTTTCTGCAGCACGTTGTGTTGGTTGTTTCTTGTTCTATAGTTCTGTGTTTTTTAAGAGGTAGTACAAAATGTAGATGCTGATATAAAGTTGCAGAATGACTTAAAATTGACTTGGTTTGAATTTGTGTATTAAACTGCCAAATACTTAAAATTTCCAATTTCGACTGGTTACTCCTGTGTGCAGCAAAGAATAAAAGTGGAATAATGCAGGAAATCAAACGACGAATTACACAGGAAAAATCTGCAATCAGGGATTTGTCAAGAGTACTGAAGAGCAAAAATGTCAGTCAGGAGATGATGGTGAACCTGATCAAGGCCATGGTCTTACAATTACTTGTTAAGTATCAGAGGACAATGAATAAGGGTGGCAGAAGAATTAATGCCTTTGAGCTATGGTAATGGAGAAGAGTATTGAACAGATCACAGATTTCCAAGAGAACAAACAGGTCTATCCTAGAGAAGGTGAAACAAAGTTGCTCTCTGGAGGTAAAGATTTTGAAACTCTACCTCCAAACTTTATGTTGCCCAAAGGGACCTGTCCTTGGAGAAGGACATTATACTTGGAAAGGTGAAGGGACAGCACAGGAGAAGAAGACCCTGAATGAAATAGATTGACATAGCAACTATGATAATGGGGACAAGTGTGTCAGAGACAATGAGTTTGGGTCAGGGTAGGGCAGAGTTCTGAATATTTGTGCAAAGATATGGTCACTATGAGTCACAAATGGCTCACCAGCACATAACAACAACATTCTAAGCAAGAACTAAAGTCAAACTATGCAAGGCTTTCTCTAGGGTAGTGATGAAGGTTCCATAGTAACACTATGTTGCAAAATAGAAACTATAATAATTAGCATTTACTCACCATGCAGCTAAAACTTTGTTTCACTCTTACCAATAATTTTATTATTCTTTTCTATAGGTGGGGCATCCTGAAAGGAGCACAAGGACAGAGAGAAAAATTCTGGGTATGTAACTATTTCCAATCAAATTTCTAATTCAATGTAGTAGAATCTTGTTGAATATTGGTATTTCTCCCTCATGAAACATATTCATGTATAACATAGTATTAAGAGATGGAGATTGTTCACAGCTTTAGTTTGCTTGGCTCCACAGTCAACACTCTTGCAGGAGTAGCCAGGAAATTAAAAATTGATTAAAAGGTGTATTGCCATGGGAAAGTCTGCTATTAGGGATCTCTCCAAAGTACAGAAGAGCAATGGTGTCTCTCTGGAGACTAAGGTGCATCTGATACAGGCCATGGTTTTTGCAATCACTTGTTATGCATCAGAGAGTTGGACAATGACTAAGGAGGATAGAAGGAGAATTGATACCTTTGAGCTGTGGTGCTGGAGAAGAGTATTGAGAGTACCATGGACTGTTAGGAAAACAAACAGATTCATCCTGGAAAGGGTCAAACCGGGCAGCTCCTTGGAGGCAAGGATTCTGAGGCTCCGTCTAACATACTTTGGACATGTTGTAAGGAGGGACCGGTCCTTGGAGAAGGACATTATGCTTGGTAGGGTGGAGGGACAGCACAGGAAGGGAAGGCCCTCTATGAGGTAGATTGATTCAGTGACTATGGCAATTGGGATGGGTGTATTGGAGATGGTGCGATTGGCATAGGATAGAGTGGAGTTTAGGGCTGTTGTCCATAGGGTCGCTATGAGTTGCAAGCGACTCGATGGTACATAACAACAACAACAACAATATTCTTATTTCAAATGAAAAACATAAGTAATAGAGTATCAATATAATCTTTCCTTCTATTATTTCCTATGTTAAACGTGTAGCTAAAGTTATATTTAGGTTTCCCCTTGTGTATCAGTTTTGGGTTCTATTATTTTTCTATGTATTATGCACTTATGCTCAATCATGTCTTTTTTAGATCTACATGCATGTTGTTGTTAGGTGCCATCAAGTTGATTCATAGTAAGACTATGAGGACAGATTTCAACTTTATCGTATCCTGTGCCTTCCCCATGATTTTCACTAGTTATATGTCTGCAGATCTCCATATAGTTAAATGTCTAGGAAGCTTTGGTGGCTTAGCAGTAGGAACTGGCGTTCCAAAACAGAGGTATGCTGCTGCTCCTCAGGAGAAAGATGAACAATCTCCTCCCTTGAGATTTACTGCTTCTGAAAACCTACTGGGAGGTCAGGAATGGGTCAGTATTGACACAGTGGCTCAATGATACACAACAACAGGAAGCTCTAATAGGATGGTCCATGGTGTGAATCCACCAATGGTTCTGCAGAAGAAATAGAAACAGTCTTCTCTCCTTATTTTTCTGCCTCAGAAGCCCAATAGAGCGTCAGCTATGAGCCAGTTAAACAATAAATTGTTGTTTTTGAGATCTACATCTATATAAATATGTAATTTATAACAAGGAAGCTGTGGTGGCCTAGGGGTAAGGAGCTGTTCTTTTTTTTTCTATAATTATATTTTATTAATTTTCATAAACATTTACAGAGATTTTGGGCTTCCACTCATTCATTGTTGCACTATTCTC